AGGAATTCGCGGGAGCGCGGCGATCCCGGGTCTCCGCCCCTGCGCAATTCACACCCACGTGTCCGGCTGTGCCACACCGGTTCTCCCGTCCCGGATGCCACATCCGTTTCTCTCTGAGGCCCCTGCCTCCACCCTCGCAGAGGAAATCGCGTGATGGAGTTTCACGTCCCTGCAGCCTGGAGTCTCGGGTCCTTGGACAGCATCACGTGGCACTGCAGTTCTTTCTTTTTTCTTCTTGGATGTTTATTTTTTTCCAGAGACAGAGAGAGAGAGAGAGAGGAAAGGGCAGAGACAGAGAATCCCCCGCAGGCTCCGCCCCCGTCAGCGCAGAGCCCGACGTGGGACTCGAACCCACACACGGTGAGATCATGAGCGGAAACCAAGAGTGGGACGCTTCACCGGCTGAGCCCCCCCAGGCGCCCCTGCAATTATTTCTCTGACTGATCTTCCCCCAGAGCCACGAACGCCAGGCAGGCAAGGACAGTCCCCTCTCTACTCCTGCCCCGCGCCCGGTGGGACCGAACACATCTCGTGGATGAGGCTCCAGCTGCCATCATGACAACCGCAAGTCCTGTTTTGCTCAGCTGTCACCTTCCATGGAAAGAGACAGTGAGACATACCCGCTTTGTGTTGTTCCTGCGTTCGTGCAAACACATTTCTAGACCACCTACCACGTGTCAGGCCCTGCACCCGGTCCTGGGGACCCTGAAATGACTCGGATGCCCTCAAACCTGGAGCACAGCCTCGTTAGGGGGTGGTGTCGTATTTATGGCAAGGTTTTAAATTCAACTCGAATAGAAGGCTTCCGGAAATAAAGGTTTCCCATGATCCGGAAAAATGTCAGTTTGGGGGCATCGATGGTCAGTCCTGGGGGCCTTGCTGTAGCTCACAGTGAACCCAGAGAAGGGCTCTTGAATGTCTCCAAAGAAGTCACCGTCCTCCTGAGCCTTCCTGGCCAGTCAAGCACGCAGGCAAGGCGGAATCATCACAGGGGCCTCTCGGGTCCCTTCAACACCTGCATGGGAGATGCCTGGCCCCCACTGGTCACAGCCTAGAGAGAAAGGCTGAGAAATAAAAGGAGAAACCCATGGGGGGGTGGCCCATCCCATCCCAAGGAACCTTTGCTCTTCGCCATCCTGGGGTGGCCTCCTGGAGAGACCGTGAGAGAACCACGCACAGCCGCCCGACTAACAGGCCTTGTGCGTCTGGCCGAACAGTCAGCCTTCCCACCTTAGCAACTGAGAATTTCCAGGGGCACGGCTCCCAGTGGAGAGAGAGCCCTGGCGTCCCGGGACGGGCAGTGCTTGTTGACATTTATCCTCAGGGAACGCGGAGAGGCCGCCATAGCTGGATGGAGCTCACTCTCAGCCAGAAAGGCAGAGCGGTAATGAACCCTAGATCTAGAGGAACCAGGGGCAAGATCCCAGGTCACTGCTTGCAGTTCATTGTTTCCGTCCCTTAGTCCTTATATTATCAAAGTCTCACAGGCCCACAATTTGAAAATTCCAGGCGTTCTACAAGTCCTGTTAGAAATAACACGGTCCCCTTCCCCGTCTCCCCATTTCCTATTTCCCAGGGACAGCCGCCTTCACCAGCGTCGGGCAGTTTTTTGGTTTCCGCCTCCGGGTCTGAAATCACACTGTGCCCTTGGGATCTGTCAACCCCAGTGGTCAGCTAGGGACTCTTCTCAGTGGTTGAGGGCTCGGGTGTCTCTTGAGCCTCTGACCACACAGCGTGCATATGCCACGTCCTGTCCTCTTACCTCCCCAATTGGGTGACACTGTCACTTCTGTGAGATCAGTAGCCAATATCTGCATTAATAAAAGTTTGCAAATGCAGTTCCGAGCTGTGATGGTGAGTTTTGTGCCAACTTGACCAGACCCTAGTACCCAGTTATCTAATCGAACACTAACATAGGTGTTGCTTCGAAGTTAAACATCATCTGCGATCACTTGCCTTTGAGTAAAGGAGATCACTATCAGGGGTGTGGGTGGGCCTCATCTAATCAGGTGAAAGGCCTTAAGAACACGACTGAGGTGAACCTGAGGTGGAAGATGTTCTGCCTCCAGACCACAGCAGCAGCTCCTGCCTGAGTTTCCAGCAGGCGCCTTACGGGTTTTCGACTCACCAACCCCACAACCCACTTAAAGCCGATTCCTTTAAGCAGATAAAGAAATAAATAAGTTCGTGTGTCCTATAAGCTGTATCTCTGCAGGGCCTTGACTCCGACGATGCGAAGCCTATAGCATACGGTGCTGACGCTTTCTTTTCCGCATCATTCTGTTTTTCCTGGAGTTATTGATCATTGGTTTTTGCTTGCCTGGCTTGTGACGTAGTTAACACTCATTTACCCCCAACTCCCTGAGCTGCTTCGCTGTCCTGCCTCCCCCTCCTTTGGTGCCTCTGTGCAAAACCTCAACTTGCCTCTTCCAGACTGTTCTCTGGGCCCCACGGGGCTGGCCTCCTGGGATCCCCCCCCCCTCCAAGCCCAGGGGCATCCACATGGCCTCCCTGTCCTGGGGACCCCCTTCCTGGGTTCGTACCTTCTCTTGCCTGCTTTCCTTCCTCAGCTCAACAGAATACAACTTCATGGTGCCCTGACAAAAGGGGACCAGAAAATAATTTTCCTGAAGTCTTCAATGTCTGAAAATGTCTGTTTCTGTCCTCAGCCCGGCGGGTGGGGGAATTCTAGGCCGGAAACTGCTTTTCCTCTGGGTTTTGAGGGTGTCCCTCCGTTGTCCTCTAGCTCTCAGTACTCCCCTGGTCAGTCCTGAAGCGTTGTGGTTTTGGATCACCCGCGAGAAAGCCGTCGCCCTCTCCCTCAACGCCTACGGGATCCGAAGCAGGCTCCGGGCTCCGAGCTGTCAGCACAGAGCCCGACACAGGGGCTCGAACTCACGAACCTGAGATCATGGCCTGAGCCGAAGTTGGATGCTTCACCGACGGAGCCGCCCAGGCGCCCCGGATTCCCCATGCTTTTTTGGCCGGGTCCATTGCAAGCTTCACCTGTGCTCTTCAGCGTTCAATTCTGTTTGCTTTTGTCTTCTTGTTCCATTTGCCCTTCGAGACTCAGGAGTAAGGACCAGAACAAACAACCGAGGCAGCGACCTTCCCTGTTGTCTCAGTGGGGTTTCAGAAGGGAACCGGGGTTGAACGCACATGCTCAGTTCCTGGGCTCTTACAGGACACTTCCTCACATGCTTTCTTGTGCCTTTAGTGGCCGGCGTCCTGAAGCTTCCACCTGGAGGCTGGCTTTGGTAAGGACGCTCTTCCTGCAGGAGAGCAGTTCAGGTTAGGAAGGAAGTCCAGGCGTGAGGAAGTCTCCTTCCCCGGGGACGCCTGCAGGGCTCGGTGTCCAGAACGAACATCCAGCACCTTTACTGCCCCCTCAGCCGTGGACGTGCCTCCCCGGGAAATGGGTGCCTTCGACCTCACCCCTCAAAGTGAGCTTCCTCCTCGTAATGAAGGTGCCTCTCTGGCTCCGGGATGCGGGGGACCGTGAGCATGGGAAGCAGGGACGGTCTGGACGCTGGCTTGGTCCCCGTGCTGTGGCCCGGCAGGCACGGCCCATTCCCACAGGGGGCTCGTCTGGGCCTCTGGTTGGGGGTTGACCCTGAGCACGGAGCCTTCCGGGTCAGGGAGTACGAAGGTGGCTCGCGAAAGCATCGTGCCTGGCGTTGGCTTGACTTCACCGTCATGTTCGTGGAAGTATGACTCCAAGCGTGCAGTTTGTGCCTTAGAAAATAATTTGTTTCCTTTCACGTCATGGGCTGGAGAGAGCTCGGTGGCCTTAAATTCACCACTGGCCTGATGGCAGCCACCAACGGCTTGCCCCGTGGTATCTTCTGCCGTCACCTGACGTAGGCAGATAGCGAAGCCAGGGGTCTGTAGGACACCAATTTCATAATTTGCATTTGAAGAGCTGCAGGGAATTCTTAAAAACCAGCATGTAACTGACATGAGATAAAACTCCCCCATTTTAAGGGTACAGCCCAATACGTTTTGTGACAAAACTGTACGGTCACAAAACCACAGCTACGTGCCAGACACAGGCTATGTTTCCATCCCCGGAAAGTTCCCTCGTGTCTCTCTTGGGGGGTGTGGTCTCCCTGTACCCCCACCTCCCATCCTCTACCCTTAGGCGACCACTGACTCCTCTCCAACTCTGTAGCTTCCCTTTTCTAGATAAACAGATCACATAATCATACAGTCCAGCTTCTTTCGCTTAGCGGAACATTGCCGTGTATCAGAAATGTGTCCCTGTTTTATCCGTGGGGAGCGTTCCATTGCCACGGACATACCACAAGGTGTTTTTCTTGCATCCGTTGATTGACATTTGAGCTATTTCCAATTTCCGGCTACGATGAATAAAACTGCCACAAACATTTGATACATTTCTCTGCGTGTTCGTGTGTCCTTTCTCCTGCACGAATACCTAGGAGCGGAATGGCTGGTCACGCGATAAGTGTCACGCGTCAGACGGAATTGCATGACTGTGCCAGGGGTCTAGACGACGCACTGTCCACCTTTTTAAACTAATTAAAATTAAATACAAGTTAAAAGTCAGTTCCTCAGTGGCAGTAGCTACGTGGCAAGCGCTCGATAGCCACCCGTGACCAGTGGCTGCCACACGGGAGAGCGATTCGGAATGTTTCCACCATCCCGGGAAACACCGCTGGACAGCACGGGCTTGGAACTGAAAACCTTGAGTTTCAGAATAGAAAGCGTTTCATTGTTTGGACAAAAGACGTTTTAGAGGCAGTGGGTAGTCTTTCTCACCGTTGTTTACATAAACAGTAACACCCTTGCCAAATCTCCTTACAAATAGAGCATTCCCGTCTTGTACGCATTTTGCAGAACTTGTGTTTGGAGCCGCCCAAGGACCAGGGAGTCCAACAGCCTGAAGAAGTTATTGTTCGTGCTGGAGCAGCCGCCCACGGGGACCCCCTGCCCTCCCAGCCTTGGTAAATTCCTATCAACAGCTGCAAGACCCCAGCAACCCTACAGGATGGAGAGGGGGCTCTGCTCATAGCTGGGAGAATGTCAGAGGCTCCATGACAGGTCGTGTAATAACCGATTGGAAACACAGTCTCAGAAACGAGCTTCATACAGTGCTTCTCAGACGACTCCTTCGTTCATCGCGCTTTTAAACAACGGCACGACGCCCAACGGATGGAGCGCAGGTCAGCGGTCAACGTCGACAGTCTACGTTTCAAGTTCCAGCCTCCTTGAAGACCTTTGGATTTAACACATAGAGTTCTTTTCCTGACCACAGCCCAAATAGGTTTGTTTCACCTTGGCTTTTCCATTGAGGTTCTGATTTCCCGGCAGCTGGGGCTCATGGTGGGGAATCTGGACTCAGGACAATCAGGGGCATTGACTGTGGGCATGGCTCGGTCCCTTGTGTGTGGTCTTTCTCGGAGAAGGGAAGTCCCATCACATAAGAAGGGGGTTTTGTTACCTCTGGGGCAATGTTGCATTTTGTGGAAGAAAGTATTTTAACCACCAGTTTGAACAAAGCTGGCGAAACAATAGTCCTTCTTGTGGTCTTTGCCATTAATCTTCTTTTCTGTAGGGGGAGAATCAGATGCCTCGATGACGTCATCGCTTGGCCGGGAACAGAACCAATGGGACCAAAGGGCTGCATTGTTTTCCTGACACAGTGGTTCAAGATGAAGCTGTGCTTGCTTTTTCTTTTCTAGAGAGAAAAGGGAACATCTGCATCTGACCACCAAAAAACATGGCTGGAGTCTGCACATTGGGAGAATTTGCCGGAATGTCTTTGTGGAAGAGATTCGACATTTCCGAAGAGGGTCCCCCATCCGTCATCTGCTCCCTTTTCATCCCCAGATAAAAAGAGCTCATTTTATTTTTAATGGTAAGTCTGGTGGCACCTTTCTTCCCCCTTCACTGTATCGTTCCTTTCACTCTCCACCTTCGGGGGGCAAAGACGTTTAGGGCAATAAAGCAATAACGTTATCTTCTGAAAGGTGGTCGGTATTAGCAAGGAGAAAAGGTGTCGTTTCCAGACGCTTTGTGTGGAGAAGCTGAATGGCATAACAAGCCTCTTCTCAGGGAAACACAAAGGCCGGGCACTGCCCTTCCAGGATATTCTGAGAAACTGAAATCTCCATGGCGTTGTGAGGAAGGCTCCCTGGGGAGAGCGGAGGAAAAAAGCAAGCAGATGGGAGGGAGGGGCACTAGACCTGACAGAGGGGGCTCCCGGACGCCTATCGAAATCTGACTTCGTGTCCACCCAAAGCTGCCAGGATGGCGAAATGCAGGTCACAAAATGGCGCGCGAGTGTGACCGCTGATGCTCTGTTTTACGTGCCCTTGCTGAGATCGCCGGCCACACCAGCGAGGTACCACGACTGACTTGCATTGCGGAAATGACCCCAAGTTTCCACTCCTTTCCAGAGTCGCGCCTTTCGCAGTGTGACTTTGCACCCTCGCAATGAAACCCCAACAACAGTTGGCACTGTCTTGTGCATGAGCTGTGGCTGCTGACGAAGCAGGACCCTGCAATGAGTTCTCCCCCACCCACACACCCCCCAGGCTGGCACAAGGGGCTCGAGGCGTCCCAACCAAACTTCCTCTGGATTGCCTTCTCTCAGCTCCCAACTCAGAAGCCAGCACTCAGCACTCACGGACAAGCCCCCTGTGAGAGTGGGCAGTCTCTGACCCTCGTGTCACATAGCCAGTCACCTGTCAACTGGGTTGCTTAAGAGTTTACCGTAAGAACGAGATCTATTTATTGAAGCAAATGCAGACTAAACTCCCCTCACTTAGAGAAAAAAGCTGTTCACGTATCTGTGTACCGCCTTTTAACACGGCATTGCACGCACACGTGCGCACACACACACACACACACACACCCCTTTCGTAAAGGGGTTCTTGTGACTCAGATGTGTGCTTATTTGCTTTCCTAAAATGACAAGATGTCACATGTCCATGGCAGACCATTCAAATAACAACGATTCTTCTTAAAACTTTTTAAAGCTGAGTATGAAAGTCCTCTATCCCCGTAACTGCCGATGACCGGCTTGTGAATTTCTTTCAGATCCGTTATCACAACATTATCTCTTTGTCAGTTTGGTTTATATCCTGTGCTCTAAAACAATGCTTTGTTTTACTTAAAAAATTTTTTTTAACATTTATTTATCTATTTTGAGAGAGACAGCGAGCATGGGCTGGGAGGGGCAGAGAGAGGGAGAGAGAGAAAGAGAATCCCAAGCAGGCTCTGTGCTGCCAGTGCAGACCCCGATGAGGGGCTCGAACCCACGAACCGTGAGATCGTGACCTGAGCCGAGGTCGAGAGCCACGCAGGTGCCCCAAATAATGCTTTGTTTTTCAGCGACGTCCGTTACTTTATCCAATTCTTCTACTGAGGCTCTTGTTTCAATACTATTGGTTTTTGTTGTTTATTGGTTTTAATTTCCAAGAACTGTTTGTCTGATTGTTTTCATAGCAGCCTGTTCCTGTTTAATGAATGTAGTATTGATTCCCAAAACGCTCTGAGGATATTAATGAGGATTCTAATGGGCTTCTCTTTCTTTTCTCTCCACCATCTTTTAAAATAGATCACGGGGCGCCTGGGTGACTCAGTCGGTTAAGTGTCTGACTTTGGCTCAGGTCACGATCTCACAGTCCGTGAGTTCGAGCCCCGCGTCGGGCTCTGTGCCAACAGCTCGGAGCCTGGAGCCTGCTTCTGATTCCATGTCTCCCTCTCTCTCTGCCCTTCCCCTGCTCATGCTCTGTCTCTCTCTGCCTCAAAATAAATAAAAACATTTAAAAAATTAAAAAATATATATATCGCAAAAATAACAGATAGACTAGAAAATTCAGATAAGCAACCAGGATGCGCTTTACATCTTAACTCCCTGTGAATTATCATTGTTAGATTTTGTTTTCTGTTTCTCGCCTTCTTATATTGACCGTGTTTCCCTATAAGTCATTTGCTGAACTTGTCACTTTCCGGCACTTGGCTCTCCTTCAGTGTCTTAGGATCCTCGCCTGTGGGTTTGTGCTGGTTAATGAAAATCTAGGTTCATCAGCAGTGATGGCTGTTGTGAGCATCTTTCACAACGATGAAGGTCACTGTCTTAATTCTCTTGTCATGAGTATTCACGGACTGCAGCGTTTGGCACTCTGTCTTGGGGTGGGCTTGTCCTTGCCTGTAAGGCGAGTGTTGGCCAACAGGGAGATTCTCCATAGTTGGCTTGGATGGGGAAGGGACTAGAGGACTGGAGATTCTCTTGGGGGAAGAAAGAGAGATACTGTTTACCCTGGGAGCAGAGTATGTTGCGAGTATGGGAATTGCTTGGAGGCCGTCTTAAAGCAGCTTGCTGGGCCCCTCCTGCTGAGTTGCCGATTCAGAGGGTTTGGGGTAGAGCCTGAGAACTGGCATTTCTAACACATTCCCCGTGGTCGTTGCTGCTGTTGGTCCAAGGATGGCACTTTAAGAAACCCTGTAAGGGGATCTGACGGCCGAGATTCCCGGCTGTTTACCCCTCCATGCTGACGTGAGGGCCGGAAGCCACTCCGGACGGGACCTCCCTCCTCCACAACCTTGATGTTCTCCTGAGGACCACAGACCTGCGGCAAACCCACCCGCTCAGGGGTCTGGGGGTCTTCTGGAACCTCCCACCAACTCCCAGCCCCCGCCTGCTCCCTGAGTTCCGGAGGCTCCCGAAAAAGTCTATGCAGGCTTCCTGCAGCCTCTGTTGGGCTGTGAACTCTTTCCGGTTCTGACCAAGCTTGTCCGGTCCCATCGACTGTGTATCATTCATTGATTTTCAAGAACCCCTCATCTGTTGTTTTTTTCTCTTCTCTGTTTTCCAGCTTTGCCAGAACTCTTCCTCCTCCTTTTCCTCCTACTTCTTAACGTTTAATGTGGCCATTTCTCAACATACATGGAAGTTGAGAAAATAAAATGAGTAAACCCCTGCTAATACACGCGTACATACATACATGACCCACTACTAAATTTTAAATGTTTCTGTTATTTAAATATTTCTTGTTGTTGGGGCACCTGGGTGGCTCAGTCTCTTAAGCTTCCAACTCTTGGTTTCGGCTCAGTTCGTGATCTTATGGTTTGTGAGTTCGAGCCCCGCATCAGGCTCTATGCTGACAGCACAGAGCTTGGTTGGGATTCTCTCTCCTCCCACCCCACCCCTCTTTCTGCCCCTCCCCTGCTCTCTCCCTCTCTTTCTCCCTCTCTCTTTCTCTCAAAATAATACATCAACCTGGGGCGCCTGGGTGGCGCAGTCGGTTAAGCGTCCGACTTCAGCCAGGTCACGATCTCGCGGTCCGTGAGTTCGAGCCCCGCGTCGGGCTCTGGGCTGATGGCTCGGAGCCTGGAGCCTGTTTCCGATTCTGTGTCTCTCTCTCTCTCTGCCCCTCCCCCGTTCATGCTCTGTCTCTCTCTGTCCCAAAAATAAATAAACGTTGAAAAAAAATTTAAAAAAAAATAATACATCAACTTAAAAATTTTTTAATATTTCTTGTTGTTTAAATGAGATCTGGGAAGGCAGATACATAACGTAGGCATTCGATCTGCCCTCTGCAGCTGGCGGTCTCCTGTCTTCTTAAATAAAGCCCCACCCAGGCTGGTTTACAACACAACATTCCCAGAAGTCTAGTCCTTCCGGTTATACGTTGCTTTCTGGAAAAGTCTTGCTCGTGTCACATATTCCACTTCACTTCATGAATCCATCTACGAATAAGCCAAATGGGGACCAAACGGATGTAACAGGATATGATCTGCATTGTAAACGCCACAAGCCTTCAAATCTTGAAGACAGAAGACAGGCTGATGGATACGATGATCTGCCTCATAGGAGGGTAAGGTTTTGTTCATTTATGGCTGAAACTTTACCCTGGGTTCCATCCATGCTTCTACTCTGTACAGTCTCGCTACTTTTCTCCGTCTGCCTGACCGTGGCCAGCCTTGGCCATGTTTGGATAAGTTTCTAGACGCCAGTGACTTACATAGGTGGAGATCAGCTATGTTGACTTAGTTAACACTCTTCTGTATATGTAAGAAACGCGTGTGGACGTGGGGAATAGGGATCTAGAATGCTCTGCCCCTCCCTGGCCAACACTAGTGTCTTCCAAGCATACAGCAGTGTCACCAGGCGGAGCTGAGCACCTGCTGTGGACAGCGGAAACACAGAATGTCCCTCTGACCGCCTCTGGCCAATTTGTCTCTTCCAGCCGGTAAGCTGTGCCAGTGCCCTATTCTTTTTAATTAAATTTTTTTGTTTGTTTTTAGAGAAAGAGAGAGGGAGAGCAAGAGTGAGGGAGAAAGGCAAAGAGAGAGAGAGAGAGAGAGAGAGAGAATCTTAAGCTGGCTCCATGATCAGCACAGAGCCCAACATGGAGCTCGATCCCATGACCTGAGCCCAAATCAAGAGGGGGACACTCAACCCACTGAGCCATCCATGTGTCCCGTGCCAGTGCCCTATGTTTTTAAAAATTACAGGTTAACATTTCTGCGGGGGAAGTGGGTTTTAAACAAGAGAGCTCGGCGGGGAGTGGATGGGTCTTCACCCCTGTCGCTTATCTGTGAGTTTGCCCTCCGTCAGCGTCAGAGACCAGGATCTGCGCCTAAAAACAAGGGTCGCGGGGGTGGAGCCCCAGGTGCTGCCTGACCCCTCCCTGGGCCAGGCACATGGGAGAACCTGCCAAATGAGTCACTGGACCCCGGTTATCGTTTCTTGCTCTTTACTGCTTTTGCAGATGATAAAAACACACGCACAACTCAAAAAATGTGTTCAATAGACAGTATCCGAGAGACATGAAAGGCGGTCTCTCCAGCCTTACATCCCCAAGGCAGCCACTGTTAGCCGTTTGGTACTTTTCATCCCAGAACCTT